GGAATGGCCTCTTTCCCAGGGAACAATATTGTTCCCGTCTGAATCCTCTTAAGCTGTACCTCTGAAGTCCACATTGCTCTCAGCACTACTGTCTTCCAAGATCTTGCTAGAACGTTCCTTTAAACAGTGTTTAAAGCATTCATTTTTTTTTTTCTTTTTTAGTTCAAAGTTCCAAGGTCTTACACATTCCTCAAAATAACCAAAACCAAACCAATAAACATGGTCAGGTTCTTCACAGAGCAGCCCTCTCTCTGGTCCCAGCTTCTTCTGGATGTGTTACTTTAATGTGTCTTGATAAAACACTATGATCAAGACAACTTATAAAAGGAAGAGTTTACTTATAAAGGGTTTATGTTCCCAGAGGGCTGAGTTCATCCCAGTAGGAAGGCATGGCAGCGAGAGGCAGGGGGCTTCACATGAAGCAGAGTAATAGGAAATAGGGTCTGCTGTAAAACCTCAAAGCCCATTTCCAGTGACAGACTTCTGCCAGCATGGCTGTACCTCCTAAACCTGCCCCCAAAGAACCACCAGCTGGGAAATAAATGTTCTAAAGTCTGAGTGTCAGTCAACCAAGAACCACCCACATTCCAGAACCAGGTACTCCCCCTACCCACCTTCAATCATCTTCATCACTAAAGGCCGTTGCTTGGTGTGCTTTTTGCAGCATGCCTTAGGTACTCTTTGGCCATAAAACCCTTAGACTGAGTCAATGGGGGACATTTATCATTGAAACCATGACAAACACTATATCCAAATCAAGGCATTTTAATTTCTTGTGGTACTGGAAATCGAACTCAAGCCCTTGAGCATGCTAGATACAAACATTCTACAACAAAGCTATCCCCCCAGCCAACAAGATCCTTTTATAATTTTAATTATATGTATGTGTCTATATGTGGTTATGTGAATGAAAGGGGAGAAGAGGGAAGGAGGAAAGGAGAAAAGAGGAAAGAAATTGAAATTCCTTAAGTCTGTCTAAACAGGAAACCATACAGATTCTGTAAGGATGGAAAAAAAAAAAACAGCCTAACTTTCCAATGACCCCAGGAAACTAGAAGTCTAAAAAAGCCCTAAACACCTTAAATTCCAGACCCTGTCCCCTGGCAGTAAGTAAGCAAAAGGTCACATTCTTTGCTATTTACGACAGGACCTGTGAGTACAGGAAATGCAGACCTCTGGGGCTATAGAAAACTGATTGGTCTATAAAGCCGGGCTTGGATGATTTAAATTGATTGGTCTGCACCACGCGGGCACTGGATGCTATGAGATGATTGGTTTAAGATGTGCGGGCTTTGTTGTAAACCCTATAAAAGCTGTCTCAATTCTGTACTCAGGGTCCTCAGTCCTCTACCCCTGTGTGGCACATGACTGTGGACCCCAGTGCACTTGGAATGTAAAAGACCTCATGCTTTTACATCAAGACCGCTTCTCATGAGTGATCTGGGGTGTTGCCTTTCCTGAGTGGGAGCGTGAAGGTTTATGCTCTGCGAGTCTTTCAATTACACTAAGTCCATCTTGAATCAGGACCTGTGGAAGTGAGGCAGATGTTAATCAAAGAAAATTTTATATGTCTTGTCCTAAAGCATTTTGATTGTATTTTTTGTCTGGTTTTTGTTGTTGTTTAATTTTCAAGGCAGGGTTTCTCTGTGTAGTCCTGACTGGCCCGGAACTCTCTGTAGATCAAGCTGGCCTCAAACTCACAGAGATCTGCTTGCCTCTGTCTCTCGAGTGCTGGGGAAAACTTTGTTTTAGTTTATTACTTCCCAAGGCTACAACCAAAATACCTAGAAAAAAATATATGGCGAGGAAATATTCTTTAGCTTGTGGTTCTAGAAGGTTTGGTTCATCAGGGCCAGGAGGGAGTGACAAACTCCCAGGGCTCACATTGTGATGAGCCAGGAAGCAGGGGTAAAAGAGTGCTGAGGGCGCTCTGTGGCGACCCCGTGAGTGAGGGGGCGTTTCTCCTCATCAAATTCTTTCTGGCAATGCCTCACACACAGACACACCCAAAGATGCGCCCCAACACCTCCTAGGGGATTCTAAATTCAAGACTGGCTGGCATTGAACTTACTATGTAGCAAAGGATGGCATTGAGTACTGATCATGCTGTCTCTACCCCTAAATAATGGAACTATGGACATGTGTCATCATGTCTAGCCAACTCCTTTTCTTCACATATATATGCTCTAACATACATGTGTACTCTGTACACACACACACACACAACACACACGTATTTGTCATAGATATGATCTGGTTTTGCTTTTTAAAAGTTTTTAATTTTTGTTTTGTGTGATAAGTGGAGCCAGAGTCTGATGATCAGGTGTCTTCCTTGATCACTCACCTAATGTGGGATGTCCTTTTGAATTCTGTAAATATATGCTTCTCTTACTGGTTGATGAATAAAGCTGTTTTGGCCAATGGACATGCAGGATGTAGCCAGGCAGGAAGTATTAGCAGGGCTACCAGACTAGGAGAATTCTGGGAGAGGGATGCAGAAAGTGAGTCTTGAGAGACGCCATGTAGCTACCAGGAAGGTAGGATAGCCAGGCATTCTCCAGTAAGATAAGGCTATGTGGAGATACATAGATTAATAGCTATAGGTTAATAATTAAGAGAGCACTAGCCAATAAGAAGTCTGAGCCATCGGCCAAACAATTTATAGTTAATATAAGCTTCTGTGTGTTTATTTGGGACTAAACAGCTGTGGGACTGGGCGGGAAAGAAACTTTCCTCAACATGTTATTTGATGCAGCATCTGTCACTGAGCCTGGAGCTCGGTGATTCATGGGCTGGCTGGTTAAAGTGATTCAGAGATCTGTTTGTCTCCTCACCCTCCCTCTCAATGCTGGGGTTACAAACATTTGGTGCCATGCCCAGCTTTTTTATATGTGTGCTAGGGACCTAAACTAGGTTAGGAATTCCCTTTATTTTATTTTATTTTTGTCAAAACAATCGAGTAGCAATGTAGGTTATACATCCTTTTTGGATGTTTATTTCACCAGGACCAGTCAGCACTCATATCTTGTCATTCTAGTGAGAGAAGGCAAATTTTTATTTCAGAAGGCAAATTTATTAAACAGTAGGCTAACCATACAAACTTAGGTTCTCTATTGGTGTGGCAGGCACTGTATCAACTAAATCATTTCTCCAGTCTCCGTGTTTGCCTTTGAGACAGGATTTCACTGTGAAGCCAAAGCTGGCCTCAGAGTTTTAGTCCACCTACCTCAGTCTACTGAGTATTGGAATAATAGACATGTGCTATGATCTGTGTTTTTATATTGCATACATAATTTATTGTTGTTATTGTTTTGCTGGGCTGTAGATGGAACCCCAGGCCCAGGGCACACTAGCAAGCACTCTGCCATTAAGACACATCTCCGGCCTTGTATTAGAGAATCTTTTTTTCTTTCCCAGCACTGAGGGTTGAAACCAGGGCCTCACATAGGCTGGGCAAGCACTTCATCCCCAACTCTGTCATTTCATTTTTCTGGAGCCAAGGCCTTGCTATTGAGCCTAGACCAGTGCTAAATTTATGTAAATTCTCCTGCCTCAGCTTCCCAAATGCTGAGATTATAGAGTGATACCCAGGTGTAAATGTCTTATTTTATGGTGACAGCCATCTGAACTTCAGGACCTGGATTTTACCAAAACAAATTAAACTCCCCTGGGGTGATATTTTGTTTATGATCTAACAAAGCTTGCCTGAAGATCAGAGTGCAAAACTAGCCACACTAGTTAGCTATAGAGGCCAGGCACTGGTGGCACACCCTTAATCCCAGCACTCAGAAGTCAGAGGCAAACAAATCTCTGTGAGTTCAAGGTCATCCTGAGCTACATGAAATTGATAGAGTCTAAAAGAGAAGCAGAACTCACACAAAGGTGAAGTCAGCACTTGGGATCCTGCGCCTTTAATCCCATCACTAGGGAAGAATATAAGGCAGGAGGAGACAGGAGCTCAGTGAGTCTGAGGAGCAGTGCAGTCGGATGCAGTCTGAGGTTTGGGAGAGGTGAGGACTCTCTAGTGGCTGGCTGCTTTGCTTCTCCAATCTTCAGCTTTAACCCTGATATCTGTCTCTGGGTTTTTATTATTAATACCAACTAGAATTTGTGTTATACTCCCCTTAGGAACTACTTTAGGGAAAGAAGTTCAATTTTCTGAATTCTTCATTTAGAATGTTAAATTATTCTCTGTCTTGAAAAAGGGTAATGCAAACTCCAAAACTGGGAAATTTCCTAGGGTTTAAATGGGAATGTGATTCAACAGAATTCAAACTATGGAGCCGTAAAAGTGCCTCACCCCTACGCTGCACAAGTCACCAGTGTGGGAGCTATACACGTGCCACCACACTAAGCTCTCTGTGTGTTTTCTGTCTGTTTTTTGAGAGGAGGTCTCACCTTGTAGCCCTGGCTGTCCTAGAATTTGCTTTGTAGACCAAGTTGGCCTTAAACTCAGAGATCCTCCTGCCTCTGCCTCCCAAGTGCTGGAATTAAAGGTTATACCACCATTCCTGGCATATATATATATGTTTTTTTTTTTTTTTTTTTTTTTTTTTTTTTTTTTTTACTTGGCTTTACTGTGTTGCCCAAGGCTGGTGTCAAACTCATGGGCTCAGTTGATCTTACCACCTCAGCCTCCCAGTATCCAGGGAAGCAGGCAGATACCACCAGCTGCATTTAAGGTAGTGTTATTGAATCATAACGTTAAAAAGCACCCCTCCCCATGCTTTGCCTGGTACCAGCAATAACAAATAAGAGGACAGAATTCTAAGCTGATCTCCTTCCCTAGCATTGTTTGACATTAAATGATGACATCTGTAGGTCTATAAAGGGAAACATTGACCAATGTTGAATTTGTTTGGACTATTTTGTGAGTATAAACTAAACTCACATCATATACTTACTTTGATTATTCCTCGGTGCTGCAGAGAAAGTTAAGTTAGGACCACAGAAGATAGGACCAGAGACCTGGTTACCAGAGTACCCAAATCTTTACTCACTGTGACTGAATGGAAGCAAGAGATTTTCTGAAGGTCCACTGAATGTCTAACTGCAGCAGCTTGGGAATATCCGGGTACCCACCCAGCTGGGCCCAGAGTGTGTTCAAGGATGTCTTCTCTGTTATTGGGTAGCTTGAAGTGGACAGGTCAGCATTCCAGATAGCCTCCATCTGAGCTTGCTGTCTATAGAGTCAAAGGGCATAAGGTAAAGGATGAAGTTCCTCTGAGCTCCACAGCCAGTGGAGACACACATGTTTCTTCCCTTTCCTCTTCTACACCCATGAGCTTCCTTTCCTGTCCATGCCCCAGGGAGCCTTAGCTGATGCCACTGGACAGAGATAAGGGAAAAGCAGAACTTGCTGATGTAATTACCAAAACACTACTGTGACCTAGCCATCCATTTTCAAACTACCTTCTTAGCCTCCTAAAGTACACAGACCATGTTTATCTTTTCCCTCCAAAGCTTTTGCCTTCTTAAAAAAAAGAGATAGAGCCAGCAGGTGGTGGCATACACCTTTAATACCAGCATTCAAGAGACAGAGGCCGGAGGATCTAGTTAGAGGCCAGCCTTGTCTACAAAGTGAGTTCCAGGAAAGCTTCCAAAGCTACACAGAGAAACACTGTCTCAAAAAACCAGAAAAACAAACAAATAAAACGAGCAAACAAACAAACAAAAACCCACCTTTATTTTATTAAGAGAAAGGGGTAGAGGTGAGGGAGAGATGGGCAGAGGACAACTCTGTAGTATGGCTGTCTCTTTCCACCTCTTTGTGGGTCCTGGAGCTTGAGCTCAGACACAAAGACATGCCCAGTGAGCACATTTATCTGCTAAGTCATCTTGCTTCGTTTTAAAAAAAGGAACTCAAAATTAAATGCTAAATATTTAAGTAGAAATATGTGTAAATAAACCTTGCTAAGCCAGGCATGATGGCAATAGCTTTAATTCTAGCACTCAGAAGACAGAGGCAGGTGGATCTTTGTATATTCCAGGCCAGTCAGAACGACACAGTGAGATCTTGTCTCAAAACAAACAAAACAATAAACCTTGATGAATTAACCAAGGAAATAAGTACATCCACACTCTTCTTGTGGGGAAAGGAAAGCTCTTGGGTAGAACTAAAAAAAAAAAAATCATGTTTTTTTTGAGACAGGGTTTCTCTGTGTAGCTTTGTAGACCAGGTTGACTTCTAACTCTCAGAGATCCACCTGCCTCTGCCTCCCGAGTCCTGGGATTAAAGGTGAGGGCCACCACTGCCTGGCAGAACTAAAATATTTTTAATTAAAAAATAATAAAGCATCAGGTACCACTTATCATTGAAAGATTGTTCTACTACATACCCTAATGTTCTGAAAATGTCAGTTTTTTTGTTGTCTTCAGTTAATAAGTCCAAGACTGGCTTTTGAAATTTGGTAAAATCAGGCATCTTCTTAAAGCTGGAGACCACCGGCACAGGGTGGCTAAGATTTAGTTTAAACACTTTTTCAAGCTAGAAACAAAACCAACAACAAAAACAAGTTAATAGACACAGAAGAGAAAGCACAGTATCATTTCTCAGGCTTCTGGACCAAGTCAAGTGTGAAAAAGAGAGGAAAAGCCAGGAACATTAGGAAAGTCTGCTCTGCTCCAGACAATAGCAGAGCTCTGTGCCCACACCCACCTCCTTTCAGAGGATCTGGGAGCTGAGACCATGGCCTGAAACTCTGTGTGTGGCCTTGAACTTGCTTCTCCACCGTGACCACAGCCCTTCTGTGTCCTTGAACACCCATACTTCACACCTGGATTCTGACTTCCCTGACTTTAGCCCAGTGGTTTTCAACCTTCCTAATGATGCTAACCTTTAAGACAGCTCCTTGAATTGTGGTAACACCCCAACCATAAAATTATTTTAATTTCTACTTCATAACTATAATGTTGCTACTGTTATGTTATGAACCATAATGTAAATATCTGTATTTTCCAATGGTCAAAGGTGACCCATGCATGTACCTCCCAGCACTCATGAGGTCTAGAGGCCAGCCATGTAGTGATATTTTATTTGTAATCTAATAAATAAAGCTTGCCTGGAGATAAGAGTGCAGAGCTAAACCACTAGTTAGCTACACACCTCTAGTTAACTGTAGAGGACAGGCACTGGTGGCCACACCCTTAATCCCAGCACTTGGGAAACAGAGGCAGATATATCACTGTGAGTTCAAGGCCAACCTGGGCTACTTCACTTCCAGAAGATGGTGATGTGATCCCAGCACTTGGGATGACACACTTTTAAACTCGGCACTAGAGAGGATATAAGACAGGAACTTAGTGCAGTCTCAGGGCAGTCTGAGGTTTGGTGGGGAGCATTGCAGTCTGCACTCACTTTGAGGACAGGATCACCCCCCCCCCCTTCGGTCTTAGCTCTGGTAGAGGTGAGAGCTCTCTAGTGCCTTGTCTGCTTTGCTTTTCTTCCACTTGAGCCCCAGTATACGTCTCTGGATTTTTATTGTTTATGCTTCACAGCCTGGTCTACATAGTGGGTTCCAGGGCAGCCAGAGCTGCGTAGTAGAGAGATCATGTCTCAAACAAAGTAGAACCACCTTGTTTTTGTCTCGGCTGGAGAGCAGGTGTGGAGGGTGAGTTACCTGGCTGAAGAACTGTGTCATGTACAATAGGCACTGTTTCCGCCTCTGCTCTAGCTGCTTCTGCTTTTCGCTCCAGAACCACATCACCTTCTTCTGGTAGTTATCAATTCTGTCCAGCATGATGTAGAGGTTCTGAGTCTCATACCCTTTCCCAGTATTTCTGATGTTTTTTAATCGTTTGGTTATGTTGATTCTTGAGAGAAAAAAAAAGTCAAGAATTAGATCCATACAGTTCCCAAACTTACCTTGGCAAACCTGACTTCCATTTCTTTCCATTCCTATATCATTCTGAGTTACTAGGAGGTATGAGAGGGGGCAGGGGACTTGTTTAATGAAACCTTTATCTAATTCCCATGTAAAAATAAATTTCTGAGCTAGGTAGTGGTGGTGTTTGCCTTTAATCCCAGCATTCAGGAGGCAGAGGCAGGTGGATCTCTGTGAGTTCAAGGCCAGCCTGGTCTACAGTGTGAGTCCAGGACAGCCAGGGCTGTTACAGAGAAGCTGTGTCTGGAGAACAAACAAACAAAAATTGTGGTGCTGTGTAGGGATGGAACCCAGGACCTCACACATGCTACACATATGTTCTACCACTGAGCTTTGCCTCAGAATATTTGTAAACATAGTTCTGGAGGTAATAACCAATTCATAGGTAAGACACAAACATCGAATGTTTAAAAGTTAGAAAATCTTTGGGGCTGGAGAGATTTCTTGTAGAGGATCTGGGTTTGAATCCCAGCACCCACATGGTATCTCACAACTGGTTGTAATTCCAATTCCAGGGGATCCAGTGCCCACTTCTGGCCTCCATAGGTACCAGGTATGCACACAATGCAGAAATATGTAGGTAAAACACTCATACATATTAGTGAATAAGTAGATATATAGATAAAAATTTAAAGATATCATGTACTATACTTAGATGGGGAAATTATATTTTTAGTGGAGATAATCAAGGTTTTAGTGTTTGATAACTACAAAATCTCACACTCACCTATAATTCCAGCTACTTTTAGGAGTATGGTTTGTGTTTTCTTTCTGGTTTTTTAGTTCTATGAGAAAGTCAGACAGATCCTTACACCCAGGCACCTCCCTAAGCAGGCAGGACACCCTTTTACCACTCACCTCTGCAATGAGGACTCAGGCATCACCCCAAACCATTATTTTCCTTACCAATAAGTTTAAGGCATTTTGTCTGTATAAGACAGGTCTTACTATGTTGACCAGGCTGGCCCCAAACTCTTGTGTTAGCCTCTGGAGTGCTGTGATTGCAAATGTGTATCATTTGTAGAAATCTGCTATTAGAAGCCTGGGTTGTGACAATTAAGCTTTAAAATAAAGGGGGGAATCCCAGTACACACACACACACACACACACACACACACACACACACACACACACACACACACGAAGAGGAAGGTGACTAGGACTAAGAGGAGTTTTTCTGGGACAGCAGCAGCTCAGTTTAGTGACATGCCTGTAATCCCAGCAATTAACCTTAAACAGTCTCAGCTGCTTTGGAAACAAGCAGCAAGACACTAGCTTGGACAATTTAGAAGACCTTAAATACGAAAGGGGCTGGGGAGATGCTCAGTGGACAAGAGCACTCTGGCACAGGACATGGGTTTGATTCCCAGCACCCACATGGCAGCTCACAACCATCTGTCACTCCAGTTGCAGAGGATCCAATGCCCTCTTCTGAGCTCTGTGGGCACCAGGTATGCACATGGGACAAGGATGTAAATGCAAGCAAAACATCCATACTCATAGAATAAATTAAAGTTGAAGGAAAAGAAGGGCTGGGATGTTAATGTGATGGCAGACAACACTAGCTTAGCCTTAACAAAACTAAAACATTTTTAAAGCCTGGGTGTTATTGATCTAGAAATGTTAGATTTAACTTTTTTCCACTTGTACAGGGGTAACAGTAAATATGTAAAGTTTATCTATCTGGGTTTGATTACAGAAACTATTAAAAGTATTTTCTAAAAATTGGGAGGTAAGAGGGCTAGCTGGGCATGGTAGCTGTTACCGCAGCACTCAGGCAGGAGGGTTGTCATGAATTTGAAGCCAGCATGGACTACATAGTGAGTATATGTCATCCTGATTACACAAGATCTTGTCTCAACAACCAAAAAACTCAAAGAATTTATAGTAGATATATATTGAAATTCCCTCAGTAGATTAGGTGGATTATTTTATAAGTAGTGACCAAGTAACTAGGTAGGTTAAAAACAAAACAAAACAGAACCTAAGACCCAGATCTCATAGTAGAAAGATGTGAACCAAAGACTTATGTGCAAGGAAAACAAAGAAAGGTTTTCTGTTTTGTGACAAGATCTCCTGGCTGTCCTAGAACTCACTATGTAGACCAGCCTGGCTTCCAACTCAGTTCTACTTGATTCTGCACCCCAAGTTCTCAGATTAAAGGCACGCACCACCATACCAGACCCCTACTTTTAATTCATTGATCGACTGATAAATTTAGAGACAGTCTCATGTAGTCCAGGATGACCTTGAACTCACTAAGTAGCTGACAATTGTCCTTGAATTCCTGGTCCTTCTGCCTCTACTTCTAAAGTGGTTGTAATAGCAGGTATAGACCACTAGACCTGGCCTTTTCTGATATTAAAAAAAAAACCAATAGAGTTGTTATGGTAACACCTTGTCTATAACCTGCCATTTCCCACTTCAGAATTTATGCAGAGTTGAGTCTGATGGCCCATGTCTGTGCTCCTACTCAACTGGAGGCTGAGGCAAAAAGGCTGAGAGTTGGAGGCCAGCCTGGGCTATACAGTGAATTTCATGCCAGCATAGGCTTCAGGGTGAGCCTTATCTCAAAAAAAAAAAAAAAAAAAAAAAAAAAAGGATAAATAGGTAAACCAGGCCAGGCATACTGTGCACGCCTGTAATCCCAGTATTGGTGGAGTTTGGTAGGGAAAGGGGTCGGGTCATCCATGCCAGCCTAGTGTGACCATTTCGTGAGAGATGCGGTGGAGAGAGTAAGTGTAGGATGACAGAGGAAGACATCTGGAATCCCATCTCCTCTAGCTTCCCCATGTAACACATACACATATACTCCCCCACACATGCCCTCTAAGCCCTGAATGCTAAACACACACACTCCTGCCTCCAGCTCCCAGGTAGTAGAATTACAAGCTGGTGCCACCACAGCTGATTTCCTTTTATGATCTTAAACCTCCACCTTGCAGATCCTTAATGAGAAAATTACAGTGTGTGATCTGGGACTAGAAAGATGGCTCAGTGGTTAAGAGCAGTGGCTGCTCTTCCAGAGGACTCAGGTTTGGTTCCTAGCACTCACATCATAGCTCACAACTAACCCCTGTTTCGGGAGATCCAGCACCCTCCTTGAGCACACACACACACACACACACAAAGATATGCATGCAAACAAAATACCCATACACATAAAATAAAAACTAAAACAATTTAGAGCATGTGGCCTGACAAACATGAACTAGAATTGTAGGCAGTGATGGAAGGTGTTTAACTATCAGGACTGTACCAGAAAGTTGTATGTATAATAATTATATTTACCTGGCAAGCTGGATCAGCCTATAGGCAACATACTTGCGGAACAGATACCCCAGGCGAACTGTATTCAAATGGAGCAATTCAATTATGAGATTCCTGGCAATGGTGTGGTACTGTGAAGGGAGTCCAGAAGTTTGTGCCTGATTTAATATAACCAGGTTTTTCCTTTGAGCCTCCACATCGACAACATATCTATCTTCAGGGTGCTGGGCAGTGAGAGGGGACTCCCTGATCTTGGCTTTCCTTGTGCCAGAAACTGGGGTTAGTATCCAGCGCTTGTCTATAGGGGGGAGCTGTGGTTTTTGGCTCCATTCAGAAGGTAAGGTCTGTGATGTTTGGGAGAGCTGAGTGGTAAGAGACAGTAGTGACGGAGGGGACTTCAGTCCAGAAGAACCTTGGGGTACCGGGGTTTTTTCTGAAGTGTCAGAAACCTTTGACACTCTGAGCTGCTCTACACGGAAAGGAGCCGGTGTGACCTCAAAGCCCAGAGCAGCAGTTTCAGGTTTTGGAGGGGAAACAGCTTCTGACCTTTTCTGAGAGACCGAAGGGGGAGAGATTCTTTGAGGTCTCCCAGGGACTGGGAGGGCCTCTGTTGTGGGTCGAGGAACTAGGACTGGAGTTGTTCTTAGAGGGAATTCTTGCTCAGGAATGGTCAGTGATGGCCTTTGCTGTTCAGGGGTAGAGTAGGTCTGCCTGTAAGGTGCTTGCTCTTGGATGACTGGAGGCTGGGAGGGGAAGATTCTGGACATTAGGAGCTCCCTGGGGACACCAGAGACTCCAGAAACAAAGAGTCCTGGAAACTCTCCAGAGGTGGGTGGGACTCCAGATATAGGCAGTGGGGTGGTCTTTCTGTGGGCAACGAGGGCTTCTGGTATTAGAGGTGGCCAAGTGTCCCCAGGTTTGAAGAAATTCCAAGGACCAGGGGGTAGCCCTGGAGTGGAAGGAGCCCCAGGTGTTGGGAGCTGCCTTGGGGTAGGAGGACCTTCTGGTGTTGGAAGCTGTGTGGAAGTGACTTGACCTCTGTGGGCTGGAATCTGTTTGTAGGTAGGAGAGATTCGTGCTTCTTCAAGCTTCTCAAAGTCGGGACGAATGCTTGTTCCTAGGCTCATCCTAGGGGAAAGTGGGGCTTGGCTAAAAGAAGGCCTTAATTTCTGCAATTGTTGTAATAGTTTGTCAGAAGGAACCAGTGTCGCAGGCTTTTCCAAGGTAAGAGGAATTTGAAATGCTTGAGCTGGCTGATAATCAGCGATTCCTGGTGATGCTTCTTGAACATTTTCTGATGTGGTTAAAACCCCCCATTTCCAGGCCAGTTCTTCAGTGAGAGCATCTTCTAATGCTGCCACCTGCTCACAGGTGAGGGTGATAGCTTCTGCCTGAGTTTGTTCCTGGGTAAAAGTGACACCCAAATCCTGGGCTTTCTCAAGTGTGATAGTGAATATTAATGTTTGTGTCTCTCCTAGACCAAGTTGGCCCAGCAACAGGGCCTGCATGGGTGTGAGGGGAGCTTGCAATGCCTGGGCTTGCTCAAATGCCTGGGTCTGCCCTGGTGTGAGAGTGATCCCCAGCACCTTGCCCTGTCTCTGTGGAAGTGGAACTCCCAATATCTGGGACCACTGCATAGTTAGTGGGATTTCAATTGTCTGGGTCTGTTTAGAAGCAACAGTTGGTTTTGGTGTCCGAATAGTCTCTGGAATAATAGGGATTTTCAGGGTCTGAATTGGCTCTGTAGTAGGAAGGCCCCTTAGTGCTTCTACCTGTTTATAGGTTAATGGGGCATCCATACCCAGTATCTGTAACCGTGAAGGAGTGGGAATGATCCCCAGGGCCTGGGTCTGTTCAGGGGTGAGGGTGAGCCCCAGGGCCTGAGCCTGTTCCAGAGTCAGACTGATCCTCTGGGCCTCGGCCTGCACAGGGGTGAGAATGATGCCTAGGGCCTGGGCCTGCTGAGGGGTCACACTGATCTTCTGTGCCTTGGTCTGCTCAGGGGTGAAGGTGACTCCCAGGGCCTGGGCCTGCTCAAGGGTCAGACAGATCTTCTGTACCTTGGCTTGTCTAGCGGTAAGAGTTATTCCCAGGTCCCAAGCCTGCTGTGGGCTGAGAAAGAGCCCCAAGGTGTGGATCTGCTCAGGGGTGGGACTGATCTTCAGTGCCTGATCCTGCTCAGGGGTAAGAGTGATTTCCAAGGCTTCAGTCTGCTGAAGGGTAGGAGCTATCCCCAAGGCCTGGGCCTGCTCAGGGGATAGAATGATCCCTAGGGCTTGGGCCTGCTGAGGGGTCAGACTGATCCTCTGTGCTTTGGCCTGCTCAAAAGTGAGGGTGATCCCTAGGACCTGGGCCTGATAGGGGGTCAGACTGATCTTCATGGTTTTGGTCTGCTCAGGTGTAAGAGTGATGCCCAGTGCTTGGGCCTGCTGAGGGGTGAGAAAGATCTTCTTTATCTGGGCCTGCTGAGGGGTGAGTATGAGTCCTAGGGCCTGGGCCTCCTCAGAACTGAGGCTGATCTCCTGTAATTGAACTTGTTTGGGAGTGAGATCAATCCCCAGGGTCTGGGCCTGCTCAGGAGTGAGAGCGATCCCTAGGTCCTGGGCCTGCTCAGGGGTCAGAATGACCCTTTGAGTCTTGACCTGATGAGGGGTGGGTGTGAGCCCCAGGGCCTGGGTCTGCTCAAGGGTGAGAATAATCCCCTTTGCTTGGGCCTGCTCTGGAGTGAGAATCATCCCCAGAACCTGGCTTTGCTGAGGAGTCAGACTGATGCCCTGAACCTTGAGCTGCTGAGGGGTAAGATCAATCCCCAGAGCCTGGGCTTCTTCCAGGGTGATGGTGATCTGCTGTGTTTGGGCCAGCTGAGGGGTGACTGTTAGCCCCAGGGCCTGGGCCTGCTCAGGAGTGAGATCAATCCTCAGGGCCTCAGCCTGCTCAGGGGTCAGAATGACCCTTTGAGTCTTGATCTGCTGAGGGGTGAGATCAATCCCCAGGGCCTCAGCCTGCTCAGGGGTCAGAATGACCCTTTGAGTCTTGACCTGCTGAGGGGTGAGATCAATCCCCAGGGCCTGGGCCTGCTCAGGAGTGAGAGCGATCCCCAGGTCCTGGGCCTGCTCAGGGGTCAGAATGACCCTTTGAGTCTTGACCTGCTGAGGGGTGGGTGTGAGCCCCAGGGCCTGGGCCTGCTCAAGGGTGAGAGTAATCCCCTTTGCTTGGGCCTGCTCTGGAGTGAGAATCATCCCCAGAGCCTGGCCTTGCTGAGGAGTCAGACTGATGCCCTGAACCTTGAGCTGCTGAGGGGTAAGATCAATCCCCAGAGCCTGGGCTTCCTCCAGGGTGATGGTGATCTGCTGTGTTTGGGGCAGCTGAGGGGTGACTGTTAGCCCCAGGGCCTGGGCCTGCTCAGGAGTGAGAGCGATCCCCAGGGCCTCAGCCTGCTCAGGGGTCAGAATGACCCTTTGAGTCTTGACCTGCTGAGGGGTGGGTGTGAGCCCCAGGGCCTGGGCCTGCTCAAGGGTGAGAATAATCCCCTTTGCTTGGGCCTGCTCTGAAGTGAGAGTCATCTCCAGAGCCTGGCTTTGCTGAGGAGTCAGACTGATGCTCTGAACCTTGAGCTTCTGAGAGGTGAGATCAATCCCGAGGGCCTGGGCTTCCTCTAAAGTGATAGTGATCTCCTGTGTTTGAGCCAGCTGAGGGGTGACTGTTAGCCCCAGGGCCTCAGCCTGCTCAAGGGTCAGAATGACCCTTTGAGTCTTGAGCTGAGGAGGGGTGAGTGTGAGCCCCAGGGCCTGGGCCTGCTCAAGGGTGAGAATAACCCCCTGCTCGGGGGTGAGAGATATGTCCAGGGCCTCAGCCTGCTCAGGGGTCAGACTACTCCTTTGTGCTTGGGCCTGCTGAGGGGTGAGAGACATCCCCAAGACCTGGGCCTGTTGAGGGGTCAAACTGACCCTCTGAGCCTTGGTCTGCTCAGGAGTGAGAGTGAGTCCCAGGGCCTGGGCCTGCTGAGGGGTGAGAGTGAGCCCTAGGGCCTGGGCCTGTTGAGGGGTCAGACTGATCCTTTGTTCCTTGGTCTGCTCAGGAGTAAGAGTGAGCCCTAGGGCCTGGGCCTGTTGAGGGGTCAGACTGATCCTTTGTTCCTTGGTCTGCTCAGGAGTAAGAGTGAGCCCTAGGGCCTGAGCCTGTTGAGGGGTCAGACTGATCCTTTGTTCCTTGGTCTGCTCAGGAGTAAGAGTGAGCCCTAGGGCCTGAGCCTGTTGAAGGGTCAGACTGATCCTCTGGGCCTTGGCCTGTTCAGGGGTAAGAGTGATGCCTAGGGCCTGGGCCTGCTGAGGATTTAGTGTGATCCTTGGTTCCTTGACTGGCTTAGGAGTGGGGGTGATCCCTTGATCCAGGGCCAGTTGAGAGGTGAGAGTAATGTCTTTTACTTGAATCGGTTGGAGAGTTGGAACTGTTTTTTGGATAACAGTGGCCCCAGATATCTGTACTTGTTCAGCAGTTGTTTGGGGGACTTGCATTGCCTCTGGTTTTTCTGATGTCAGTGTCTGCTCAAGGATCCTAGAAACTCTGAGCTGAGTCCCTAATTCTTGCCCCTGCTCTGCTGTGGGAGGAGGGATCTGCACTTCTGTCCCGTGTTCATAAACAAGGGGACCACGCAAAGCATCTATCTGCTCAGGGATTAAGGATGCCATTGATATCTGAGATGCCTCAGGACCTCTTATCTGGGCCTGCTGAGGGACAGGCATTAGGAGGGGCTTTGCAGAAACAAGGCGAGTCCTGGAAGAAGGGGCTTGCTTTCCATCGAAGCTCTCCATTGCATCAAGATCCACTTGGAATAACTGTACTTGACTAATCTGAGGTTTCAGGTCTTTCATCCACCTGGGTGTTAGCGCCATTGCAGTATGGGTGATTGTTTTCATTAGGTCTTTAGGCTTTGATTCCGTCTTTTGTTTTAGTTTGCTCCCTTTCAGCCTCTGACCATCTTCTGCATCTTTCACTGCCTTCACCCTGTCCTTATCAGTCTCCTCTCTCACCCGAACGACCTGAGCCTGTTTCCACTCCTCCAGCTTTTGTCTTTGCTCTTCCCTCCAAGCATCTTCTTCCTGCTTTTGTTGCTCTTGCCTTTCACCTGTCATCCTGTCTCCATCACTCTCTAGTTCATCTAAGAGTGTTTGTACTAGTTTCCTAATCACTGGGTCTGTCATCTCACTTAAGAGAAAGTTGCTAATTTCAGACTTGGTACTACTGACTGATGCCTGCTTAGGAAACAGCTGTGGTGTGACAGAGGGTAACTTTTGTTTGCCAAATATGTCTTTAAATTGTCCCCCTTTTGCATCTTTGTATGTCCTCAAGGTTTTAGTCACAGTTTCAGCCACTTTTTGGAAATATTCCTCCATTTTTGCCTTTATGGTGTTTAATTTTTCAATTTCTGCTTTCCCTAACAACTCCTCCTCCTGTATACTCTTCGGATCAATAGCCTTTCCTACATTATTAATTTTCTCTCTTAGGAAAGCCAATATGGCTCTTTGAAATGATTCCAGATTACTTTGTTCACGTTTGGTATCAGGACTTACTGAAGTATGTTTAGGGGTCCTGGGCAGTAATTTACTGCGTTGTTTTGTGGTGCCTGGCATTTCTTCTGTTCTTCCAGGTACGGGTTTTTTCCCTTTTGCTTCTTTGTGTGGCTCTGGAGTACTCTCAGGCTGGATTATCTTGGGTGCTTCTTCTGCCTTTTCTATTAGCATAACAGTGGGATCTATTTTAACCTCTGATGAAACTGGGCTTTTTCCAAGTGAGTACTCTGATCTGCCCTTCTTGAGTCGTTCCCACATACTACTTGCTGTACTCTTGACCTCTTGGCCCTTTGGTTTGCCTTCTTTTCTCTTCATGTCCAGTGCTTGTAGATCAGAGTATTGACTAGACTTGATCTCCAGGAAACTCTTTTCCTCCTCCTTATCCAGATCTGTGTCCCAGTCCTCAGATAGCTGTAGACTTGGGAGGAGCTGCTGCTTCTGGCCATGATCAGCCTTATCCTCAGCTTGCTGCTTAGCTGTGTCTGGAGCCCTTTCACCTTGGGCTACAAAAGTCATAGTCGAGTCCCACTTTACTGCAGTAGCTCTGACCCCCTTCGTCTGGGACTCATCTATAATCTTTTCAAGCTCTTTGCTTAAAAGATTGTCAATCTCCCCCGGGTCAATATCTTTGTCTATGGGTGCCTGTGGAGACATCGCAACTAATGGTCTCAAGGGCGTTGGGAACAAGAGTTGTCGTCCTAGAAAATTTTTGAATCGAATAAGCTGGTCACACTTTTCTTCAGCATCTTTAAGTTTCTGTTGAAGTATGTCATTTTCTTCACTGAGTTCTTGAAAGATCTTCTGTGAGAAGTCTCTTTCTGTTTCTTGTTCTTCACTCACAATTATGTTGCTAATATGAGCGTTCATAAGTTTCAGTTCCTCATTGACTGTGCTCAGGGCTTTGGAGAGGTTCAGCACCGTTGCTGATATATATTTAATGGCGTTGTTTTCCAGTTTGCTGAACATGGCTGTGCTGATGAGTTCTTGTAGCATGTCTTGTATCTCTGAGATCTTATTATTTAACGCAAATTGGTCACAAATCATCTGATCTGGTCTTAAAGCATGGGCTGTGGCAGGCCGCTTTACAACGCGTTCCTTCCAAGCTTTCCAGAGAGTACCTCTAGCCACTGGAAGAAAAACATAAAAACAAAAGAACAGAGTTACATTTCTTCTTTTATATTGCGCTGTGTCCATGTTTAAGCCTAAGAAACTTAGCCTTAACTAATGAATGCATACAGGATAAATATCCATCAGAAAAGTTTAATAGCATTAGATTTTATAGTCATTAGCCAAAGGTAAGATCTCACCTTAGCATAGATAATGACTAAATACTTGAGGAAGAAGAGACAAACCTCCAATGCACAAGAATGGAAAATAACATGTAGATACTCTACTCTACAAGATCAGTAGCTGCTTGCTTATAGGCTGTGTATATAGACTTACCTCCAAAGATTACTTCCACCAAAAGAAAGGGTGTAGGCAGATGTCTCCTATCCTGACCACCTGCTCCCCAACCAAGCAGAGGCTCTGCCAATTGTAAGTGCTCTGCCAATAGCTCAGGCTTATTACTAACTAGCTCCTACATTTCAAATTAACCCATATTTCTTATTTATACTCTGCCACTCAGCAGTGCCTCTATTAACATGGCATATTAATCTCCTGCTCCCTCTGGGTGACCTCTTAACTCTGCCCTTCTTCCTCCCAGAATTTTTTCTGTATCAGGCTGTCTCACCCAGTCTCCTCCTGACTAGCTTTTTATTAACAATGAGAGCAATGCACATTTATAGTGTACAAAAATTGTTCCACAGCAAAAGTGGGGGAAGTAATAACATTTTTTTAATACAAGGTCTCCTGAATGGCCTAGAACTAGAAATGTAGACCTAGTTGGCCTCAAACTCACAGAGACCTGCCTGCCTCTACCTCCAGAATGCTGGATTAAAGGTGTTTGACACCATTACCTGGCATGTGTCACCATGCCCAGCTGTACTTTAGTTTTTGAATCAGAGGTCTGTTCTGAACCCAGAGTTTGTGAAGCCAGTGACACTGTCTGGCCAGAAAGCCCCAAGGACCCACCTATTTCCACATCCCCAGCTCTCGAATGACAGATGTCCTTGGCTGTACTCTAGCAGCTAAGAGGAGGCTAAGCAGATGTGACAACTCAAGGTAATGTGGCGCTCACAACCAGAGCAGAAAGGGGTAGTAGGTGAGGACCAGGAGGTCTGAATATATTATGCAATTTAGTTAATAATAATGTGCCTTTGTTGGATTCTTTTTTCTTTCCCTTTTCTTTTTGGTTCTTAAGATGAGATCCAATTTGCTGTGTAGTCAAGGCTGGCCTTGAACTCTGGGTTCTCTTGCCTTTACCTCTCAAATACTGAATTACAAGTATGAGCAACCACACCTGGCTTCAACTTTGGCTTCTTAAATATAATGAGTGTACATACTAATGTGAGATATGTATGTATTAAAAAGATTGTCCTAGTTAGGGTCTCTATTGCTTCGATGAAACACTATGACCAAAAGCAAGCTGGAGAGGAAAGGGTTTATTACATTTCCACATCATAGTCCATCATTGAAAGAAGTCAGGACAGGAACTCAAGCAGGGTTGAAACCAGAAGGCAGGAGCTGATGCAGAGGCCATGGAGGGATGCTGCTTACTGGCTTGCTCTTCATGGCTTGCTCAACCTACTTTCTTATAGAACTGAGGACTATCAGATCAGGGATGGCACCACCCATAATGGGTTGCCCCCCCCCCATTAATCACCAATTAAGAAAATACCTTTATAGCTGAATCCTTTTGTTGTGACCAAGTGGGTGCTAGGAATCAAACTAGGTTTCTCTGGAAGATAGGGTAATGCTCTCAACCACGGAACTATTCATGGGCCCACTAATGTAAGATACTAATAAGAGAAAACTATGGAGATGTATACAAGAACTCTGTTGTTTCCCACCCCACTCAAAACCTAAAGCTGCTCTAAAAAATGTCAAGACCATTTAACAGTAAAGGTGGCTGATGATGAGCTGTGGATAGCAGATGGGGTGCACTCATTTAATCCCAGCCCTTGGGAGGACAGAGGCAGGTGGGTCTCATTGTTTGAGACCAGCCTGTTTTACAGAGTGAGTTTCAGGATAGACAGGAGTGGAGTGGGCTGGAAAGGTTGCTCAATGTTTAAGAGCACTGCCAGCTCTTCCAGAGGACCCAGAATTTGATTCCCCACGCCCACATGACAGCTTTTACCCTTCTGTAAACTCTAGTTCCAAAGGATTTGATGCCCTCTTCTGGCTTCCACAGGCACTGCATACACAGGATGCATAAATGTATATGCAGGCAAATACCCATACATGTAAAAATAAGTAAATAATTTAAAAAAAGAGTAAAAGACAGTAAGACTTTGCCCACATGACCCAACTGTATTCCAAGATGCCTCTTGATATTTAGATTTTGATATTAGATATTTAGATTTTTGCCACATGAGTTTGTGGCACTACCCAGCAAGATAAAGAAATAATTATAAAACTATATAGTTAGGCCAGATATGGTGGCACACATCTTTAATCCCAGCACTCAGGAGACAGAGGCAGGTGGGTCTATGTTACTTCAAGGCCAGCCTGGTCTATATACCAAGTCTCAGGACAGCCAGGTCTACTTGTCTCAAAAAATAAAATAAAATAAAATAAAATAAACAAAAAACAAACCCACAAAAACTATGTTGTTGCCAGGCAGTGATGGAGCACACCTTTACTCCCAGCACTTAGGAGGTAGAGGCAGGTGGATTTCTGTGAGTTCCAGGCCAGCCTGGTTTACAGAGCTAGTTCCAGGACAGGTTCCAAAACAATACAGAGAAATCTTGTCTTGAAAAACCTAGGACAGCCTAGGCTATATAGTATCCAGCAAGGACGTGCCTTTTACAGTACCTAACAACAACCTGAGTTCAATTCCCTAGAACCTTCCTTATAGATAGGGATGCTGATTCTCATAGCTTATCCTCTAACCTCCACATGTGTGTCTCTCTCTCTCTCTCACACACACACACACACACACACACACACGAATAAACATATAAAATTTTAATTAGAGTCCAGTATCTCATTTTCAATAATGAGTAGAGTCACTCCACAGAAAATCAGTAAATTCACAGCAGGTTTTTAAACTGTCAATCAGTTCCACCCCTTAAAAAGGTGTAGTCATGTACCTCTTAAGCACACCTGGGCCTTGCTCCAAGATCAGCCATATGCTAGACCAGAAAACAAGCCTCAGTGATTAAAATAATATGAATGGTCCTCAAATTTGGTGGGATGCACACACCATGCCTATCATCTATCTGTCCATCTATCTAATGGATTATTCTTTGATTATTCTTTTCAAATAATCTAAAGGCACCACTGTGTCTGACTTGACACAAGTTTTTAACTGAGTATTGAAACCATAGTCAAAAGGAACCCTGTTAAGTCAATTGGAGCTTATTAACATTAAATCCAGTGGGTCCCCAGATAAGCCAACATGAAGATAAAAAAAGCAAAACAAAATCACAGCTTGTCAGAAAATATTTACAAATTCCTTTTCGGATAAAGAACTTTTATATAGCCAGATGTAGTGTCATGTGTGTATAATTCCAGCATTTGAGGGCCTGCAGCTGGATAATCTCATGCTCAAAATGGTCCAAGCTACATAGCAAGTTCTGGAGCAGCCTGGGCTATGTTGTGAGACATGCTGAGATGTTATCTCACAACAAAACAAAAAACTTTTTAATTTCTGTGAGTTCAACACCAGCCTGGTCTACAGAGCGAGTTCTAGGACAGGCTCCAGAGCTACAGAGAAACCCTGTGATAATCCCTGCAAGGTATTTGCAGTGTAGGTCACCTTCGGGTCACTTGGTCCTTAAGACTTTTGAGTGAAGACTGGGGGGGGGGGCTTGAGATATTCCCTTGGTGCCTTCAAAACTCCCTGTCCTGGGGCAGGCAGGGCCACTGGTTTCCCCACAGGGAGAACCAACAACAACAAAATACCACAAGGGTAAACACATCCTGCCCCTGAGAACAGCTAAAGGGGAATTGTCTCCAGCAGATGTCAATGTTCATCCCGTGGTATAAAAACACAAGCAGTGGAAAGGCAAGCTGCAAACTCAAACATGGAGAGAGAGCCTCAGCTTCTTTAGTTGATTTCTGCATGATGTTGCAAGCCCTGATTGGATGATGCTTCCATGGTTTGTTTGCTTTCCCTTTTGAAGTGGGAGGGGGGAGATGATGGTGGGAGATGAGACAGGGTCACACTGTGTAGTCTTGGCTGGCCTGGAGCTTTCTAGATCAGAGTAGTCTCAGACATGAGATCCACCTGCCTCAGGCTGGAATTAAAGGCATGACTACCACACCTGGGTTTGGTTTGCTCTTCCATCAGGTCACTCTTCTCCGCTGAACGTTGTAAACTGGTGTGATGTGTTGCTGTCTGTCCATCTGCTGCTTTTATCTACCTGCTACTGTTACTCCTTTCCTTTTGCTTGCTGCATGTCTAATAAGCTCACTCATTAGAAACTTAAATAACAGCCATCATAGAACATTCTCCAGATGGTACAGAAAGTTTATAGGAATCCTGCTCGGAATCCTCCATGTACAATTTTAAGTGCAATTAACAAATAAAAGGGGCTGAAGAGAGGGCTCAGTGGTTATGAGCACTGGCTGCTCTTGTAGAGATGTCAGTTTCAATTTCCATGAAGCTCCAGTTCTTGGAGTCTCTGACGTCCTCCTCTGGCCTCCAAGGGCATCAGGTATCCGTGTGGTGCAGACACTCATGTATGCAAAGTATGCCCCACACACACACAAATGAAAAGTTTAAAGAAAAATATAAGATGAACTGGATGTGGTAGCATATGTTTGCAATTCCAGGACTTTGGAGGTGGTGACAGAGGATTAGGAGTTCAAGGTTACCCTTAGCTATTTAGTAATTTCAAAGCCAGCCGGGAATATATGAGATTCTGTCTCAAAAAAACAAAAGCCAAGGACTGGGGAGTAAAATAAAAGATCCAAAAGGGCAAGTATTTAATAGATATTTTCACCAAAGCAGATATAGGAGTGACTGAGCAGCACACATCATTTAGTATCATTTACGTATTGGGGATGTAAAATGTAAATCTGAAGGAAGTGCCTCTTCACAAGAGCTAGCCTGGGTAATAAAAGGGAGTAATGGGCATTGAGGATGTGGAAGAGGTAGAGCCTTCCTACACTACAGACAGAAATGCAAATTAGTGAGCCACTTAGAAGAAAGATTTGCTATGTGGTCAGGCAATCTACTTGTCTACAAGTACTGTACATGCATGCAAACTAAAACATGTGCCTCACAGAAACATGCATACGTATGTTTATAGCAGGAGTGTTCAGAAAAGTCAGATGTGGAAAGCATCTCCATGTCCCTCAGTTGGAACACACCAACCACACACAAGGCTCAACAGAAAGGATCTAGTTACTAGCGTGCCCTGTGCCCTACAACATTGCTGATGAAGCATTAGACAGACTGGAAGAAGGCAAGCAGGCAGGACAGACCACTCATGGCAGCTAGGTGTAATAGCTCACATCTACACTCCCAGCCTTCAGAAGGCTGTAACAGGAGAGGGTTCCAGGCTGGCCCAGATTACACAGCGACACTGTCTCAACAAAACAAAACAAAAACCCACATATAATCTGATTATATAAAATAGCTCAAATAAATTCATTGAGATGAAATAGATTGATTAATGGTTGTCAAGGACTGTGGACTGGAATGAAGAAGTCTATCTACACATGAGCACAGATCTTTTTTGGATAATGGAAATGTTTTAAAATCAGTCTGCCACAGGCTGGGGGTGTGGCCAGTCTCAGAGGGTCTAACAAGCATGAGGCTGAGTTCAGTCTCCAGTGTCACCACCAGGTAGGGAAAAGGTGATGATCACATCACAACACGCTGTGAATTTACGGAAATAATTGTGTGCTTCTCACATGTACCTTTTATGGAATGTAAATTATACTCCAATAAAGCTGTATTTTAAATTTTGTTATTTTATGTGTACGAGGGTTTTGTCTGCATATAAGTTTGTGTGGCATGTAAATGCAGTGCCTGAGAGGAAGCCAAAAGAAGAACCAGAGCTGCCGTGTGGGTGTTGGGAATGGAACCCAGATGCTCTGGAAGACCACCTAGTGCTCTTTACCGCTGAGCCATCGCTCCAGCCGCCAGTAGAGCTGTATTTGGGTTAAAAAAAAAAAAAATTAAACCCCACTCACTTGCAAATGTTACAAAGTACACTCACATAACTTTCTCTTGTGTCTCTTCCTTTCGTCAAGGAGCATTGTGGTAATTCGACACAGAGTGTTGACATTGATGTCGATGGCTTTCAGTACTTCCGGCATCGTTTCCATTTGTGCGACCCAATGGTGGTATTCCTCAATATCAATCTCAGCCACCTCAGACAGAATGAAATCTAGAAGAGATGTAATAATACACGCTTATGATATTTGGTAACTATACAACATGGTTCCATTAGAGAATAGAGTGATCTTGTGCTTACTGCTACCCTGAGCAATTTCTCTATTAAATAATTATACAGGGAGAGAGACCTGGAATAGAAGCCCAAACAGTTAAATCGGCAAGTTAAGAAAATATTATTCAGGTTTAAAAGCACCATGTTTGTTTCCCTCATTTGGCCCAGTCTTGCCTCCTACATCTAGTTAGTCCCTCAGTATCCCCTCATGATTAAACTTCTCCACTCTCTCACTAACTGGTCTTTCTTCCCTCTGAGCCTGTCCAGATACTTACTCCATTCTTCTAGCCAGGACATAAGTTTCAGGAGAGTCCTTTCTCGGAAATCAATAGTCTTAGCATACATAGCGATCTTTTCTAAGAAAATCTTTCTCTTCTTTTTCTGGTTTTCTGTGAGGGAGCTCTTCCTCCCAGGGGATGAGCTGTCAATAGTATAGCGAATCATTATCAGCTCCACTTTGTTCATTATTTCAATCAGCCGTGAAAGGATATCCTATAAACAGGAGGGATAACACATTAGTTTGTCTGCTGATTTGAATAAAAGTGCACCCATAGGTCCATAAGGAGAGGCACTAGAGGAGGTGTGGCCCTGCTGGAGGAAGTGTGTCACTAGAGAGTGGGCTTTGAGGTCTCAGAAGCTCAAGCCAGGCCTAATGTGTCACTGCCTGTGGATCCAGATGTAGAACTTCCAACTGCCTCTCCAGCACCATGTCTGCCTGCGCCACCATGCTCCCTGTCATGATGACAATGGACTAAACCTCTGAACTGTAATCCAGACACAATTAAATATTTTCCTTTATAAGAGTTGCTGTGGCTGGGTGGTGGCACACACCTTTAATCCCAGCACTCAGGAGGCAGAGGCAAGCAGATCTCTGTGAGTTTGAGGTCAACCTGGTCTACAGAGTAAGTTCTGGGACAGGCTCCAAAGTTACAGAGATAAACCCTGTCTCAAAAAAAAAAAAAAAAAAAAAAAAAAAAAAAAAAAAAAAAGAAAAAAGAAAAAAAGAAATAAAGGAAAAAAAAGTTATTGTGGCGTCTCTTCATAGCAACAGAAACTCTAAGACAGTTCGAACATAAGTTTTGGTCATGTTTACTCTCAGAATGTCAGTAATTAATATAAACCAGACCCATTAAAGTCTTCCTAGGGTGGTGAGATTGCCCAGTGGTTAAAGGTACCTGCTGCCAAGCCTGGGAACCTGAGTTTGGAGAGAACTAACTCCTGCAATTTGCCTTCTGACTGTTACATGCATGGGCACACAAATATAAGCATACACCTGAACAAAAACCAGACAAAATAAAAATTTTCAAAATTCTTTTTTGTTTTGGTTTTTGAGACCAGTTTTTTTCTGTATAACAAACAGCTCCGACTGTCCTGGAACTCACTCTGTAGATTAGGCTAGCATTGAACTCACAGAGATCCACCTGCCTCTGCCACCCGAGTACTGAGTGCTACCACTGCCCTGAAGAAATTTTTTAAATTCTTAGTCTTGCTGGTTAACTTGAGTTTTTGGGTGACTGGCGAGGAAGATTGTGAGTCCTAGGCTAGCCTGGGCAGTTTAGGGAGGCCCTCCCATGTCAAAAACAAATGAAGTGTTGCTGGTGTAGCTTTACTAAGTCCCAGCTTTTCTCTTATTTAAAAAAGAAAATAAGTCTTAGGTCAAGGTATGGTGGTTGATGCCTGCAGTCCCAGCACTCAGGAATTATAAGCAAGAGTTCAAGGCCAACCTAGGCTACATAGGGGGTTTGAGACCAACTTAGGCAACATGAGACCCTGGTTCAACAACTCTCCAAATAAATAAGAAAAAAACATTTTCTAGCTTTCATCATCTAACAAGACTTTGGGTTTGGAGCTGGCTTAGGACTCAACTGCAGAACTTTTGTTAAAATAGTGTTTAGAGCTGGGTGTTTTGATCCCATCACTTGGGAGGCAGAGGCAGGTGGAACTCTGTGAGTTCCAGGCCAGACTGGTCTACAAAGCAAGTTCCAGGACAGGTTCCAAAACAATACAGAGAAATCCTGTCTTGAAAAACCAAAGCCAAACCAAACCAAAAGAAAAAAAATATTGTTTGGTGTCACTTAACAGCTCTGAACTGCCTCTATTATCTATAAAGCAAGACTGCTAAAGGCAAAGTGTAAGTCACTTCCTTTTTATGGAAGTGGGCATTGAGCCTGGGCCTCACACATCCTCTGTAGGCACTCAACCAGTAAGCCCATGTGTCTGGAATCCCAACGAATGGGAGATGGAGGCAGAAGGATCAGAAGTTAAAGGTCATCCTTGACTACACAGGAAACTTGAGGCTACCCTGGGCTACAAAAGACCCTGTCTCAAATAAACAGCAAAAAAACTGTTTAAACACATTGTCAGAATTATCAGAGAGCTGGATGACTAGCCTCTTCTAAAAGGTGCTGAGGTGGCTGATGGTTTAACTAGGAAAGGTGCTTGTTGCCAAAAAAACAACTGGAATTCCATCCACAGATCCTACTAGTGGCAGGAGGGAACTGATTCCTAAGGGTTATCCTCTGACCTCCACTCGGTGCTGTGGGATGTGAACACTTGAACACAAAAATGTACACATCTGTGTTAATTAGTTTGCCATAAACTTGACACAAGTAGGGTCATCTGGTGACTTAGGGTTACCATTGCAGAGATTTAACACCACGACCAAAAACAACTTGGGGAGGAAAGGGTTTATTTCATTCACAGTCCCATAGAACTGTTCATCATCAAAAGCAGTGAGGGCAGGAACTCAAGCAGGACAGACACCTGGAGGCAGGAGCTGATGCAGAGGCCAGTAAGGATGCTGCTTATTGACTTGCTTATAGCCAGATGTCATGGAAGCACTTTCTCAACTGAGGCTCCCTCCCTGCTCTCTGATGACTCTAGCTGTGCCAAGTATTATTAAACTATCCAGCTCATCTGGCAAGAGGGAACATCAGTCAAGAAAATGCCCCCATCAAGTTGGTCTGTAGGCAAACCTTTGAAGCATTTTCTTGATTAAGGGTGGGTGTGGGAGGGCCCAGCCCTCTGTGGATTCTTCTGTCCCTGGCAAGGTAGTCCTGAGTCATATAAGAAAGCAAACTGGGCAAGCCATGAAAAGCAAGCCAGTAAACAGCTTTTCCCCATGACCTCCGCTTCATTCTTGCCTCTAGGTTCCTGCCTTGGTTTCCTCTGAAAATGGACTGAAAGCCAAATAAACTCTTTGCTCCCCAGTTGCTTTTGGTCATTGTCTTTGTCACAGCAACAGAAAAAGTAAACTAAATTGTACCAGTAATAAGGCATTGTTGCTAGTGGTATTTAGTGTTGCTACAATAAAGTGAATTTGTATCAGAATCTATTTGTAGCTTTCACATTTATTCAGTTTAACTTATACTTGAAAGTCTATCTACTTCTAGTTAAATTTAACCTAGGATTCAAACATTGAGAGGCATGAGATCATAACTAATTTCCTTTTGCTTATTCACATTAATTTTAATGTATGGCTATAATTAGTAGAACATTTATGAATGTACTTTATTTGATTTTTTTGTTTTTGCTTTTGTTTTTCAAGACAGGGTTTCTTTGTGTAACAGCCTTGGCTCTCCAGGAACTCTGTAGACCAGGTTGGCCTCAAACTAACAGAGATCCGCCTGTCTCTGCCTCCAAGGTAATGGGATTAAAGGTGTGCACCACTATTACCTAATAGGAAAGTAATTATAAAGGAATCAAAGAAATGTTGAAAGTATTTTAAAGCCAGATGTAGTGACACATGCCTATAATTAGTACTAGTAATTGGTGGCAGAGGGAATAGAGGTCAGAGGATCAGGAGTACAAGGCCAGCCTAAGCTACATGATATTCTGACTTAACAAAACAAAATAAGGTATTTTGAGAAGGCACAGTGGAGGCATATGGATAAGAGGAATGCTGTGGAAGCATGAGAAGCTGAGTTCAAATCTGGATAAAAGCTGAGCATGGCTAAGCATGCCTGTAACCCCAATACCCAAGGGCAGAGACAGGCAGTTCCTAGAAACCCAGAGGCAGCCATCTTAGCTGAAACAGTAAGCATTTGGTGAGAGACCGTGTCTCAAAGGAAAAGAGTCATAGAGATGGACACCTGTGTCCTCTGGCCACTGTATGCTAATACATATACATGTGCACACACCACACACACGCACACACACTCATACATACTAATACACACACCACATACTACACACACTAACACACACACCACACACACTAACACACACACTCATACATACACTCATACACACTAACACACACATACTAGCACATAAAATGACCTAGTATTCATAAAAAAAAAATCTCAAGTAACCTCAGATATCAAAACCATCTTTTTTGTCTTTTATTTGTTGGTTTTTGAGAGTTTCTCTGTGTAGCTGTACAGCCTGTCCTGGAATTCACTCTGCAGACCAGGCTGGCTTTGAACACACAGAGACCTGTCTGCCTCTGCCTTCTGAGTGCTGGGATTAAAGGTGTGTGCCACCATCTGCCAGCTTTATCAAATAGTCTTGGAAACACAATTGGAGATTGTCACTTCATGACTGCAGGTTCATTACAGAACCATATAAACATGTCCTGCCATGAGTGAGACAAGCTAATTATAGGCTGGAACAGAAAGGTCAACAATTAGAATGCACAATATGATGAATCCAAGACTGCCTCATAGGAAAACCAATTTTTTAAAAAAATGGTATAAGAAAAACATACAAATGAGTCCAGGTATAAGGAAAACATGTAAATGAATCCAGTGGACTCTTACTTGTATAAATTTAACTCAAAATAGATCAAAGAGTTAAATGTAATACACACACACACACACACACACACACACACACACATATATACACATACAAAACAGAGGAAAAGCCGTCAGTCCTATAGAAATGTCCTCTGATGAGAACAATGTAGATGAACTCCAGTATACAGAACATAAAAGAACATAAACTTCATCAAAGAATTCAAGTTTATTGAAAAAACATCTCACTGGTCTTAAAGAAAGTGAGTTCAATGCCTCAATGATGCCCAAGAAAACACAAACACGAAAAGGATTAAAATAATGAAAGCAATCCAGTATCTGAAAACCAAATTCTACAAAGAGAAATACTAAACAACCCAAGATGAATTGATAACCCAATCAAAAACACTCAAGGAAAAGCCTTACAAGTAGGGTGTGTTAGGAACTAGCAGCCAGCTGACCCTGCCCGACAGGTGGGATGCTCATGGCCATGTCATCGCTAGTCAGCCTTACCTGGCGGCTCAAGTTTTACCTGGCTGCCAAAGGACTTAGTTACACATGTGCAAGCCCCCCTTTTTAAAGCAAGCCTGCCGAGCGTGGTGCTCTCTCTTGCTCTCTCTGGCCTCTCTCTCTCTCTGCCCCCTCTCGCTCTCTCTCTTCCTCTCTCTCTCTCTGTCTCCTGCTTTCGGTTGGCCACCAGCTACCCCCCTGCTTTCTCTCCCCTCTCTCAAACCCCACGTGGGCGCTGAGTCTCGT